CTCTAAGTTTGGGGAGGTGGTTTCTTGGTGAGCATTCATGATTTAATATGTGATTAGATTTTTGCCCCTTAGAGTTTGAGTCTTAGATTAGTTGCATGATATTTGGTTGTCTTGTATGAGTTTGAGATTGCATGTACGTGGAAATTTGCGATGATGACATGAGAGTCGGTTTGGATTTATTGTGCTAGTTTAAATGGCTTGAGTTGATTTTATTTGGTTAAATTCTTGAGGTGTTTTATTTTGGGGACAAAGGCATGATGGTTGATATTTTTGTGACTTATTGTGGTGAGTTGGTTTTGAGACGATTTGTATTGTTGAGGTATGCTTGTGATTGCTTTAATCAATGTTGATTAAGTTTGGGAACTTGAAGTTGAAAGTTGGGGTTTCTATGTCTCATAGTCGAAAAAAAAAAGAATAATGAGGATGGAGGAATAATTAGTGGAGTTGAAAAGCCTTTGGCAAAAAAAAAAATAAATAGAAAAAAAAGAGTCATGGGCTGCAACAGCTGCCAATCCGTGGAGGCTCTAGTGTATACCAATAATTTTCATATCTATACGAGCACGAAAGGCTACCCGCGGGTTGTGACGGAGCTGCCGTTCCCTACTCTAAAAGAAAAAAAAAGAAAAAAAAAGAGTTTGGAGAATGAGACGTTTGGACTTCGACTAGAAACGGAAAGAAACTAGACTTGTTAGCAAAGAGAGGGGTGTCATTAGTTGCATTGATCGGTGCATTCGTTAAAGAGATTGACAAACTATGGTGGTCACTTGAATTGATACTTGATGTGTTTGCGTTCTTAGAATAAGCATCTTGAGTCCGGATAAATTGGTTTGAGTTGTTTGAACTATGCACTTATGTGAGGATTGTGAGGCCTGAGTAAATATTCCACGTACTTGTTATCTTATCCATCTATGTGCTTATAGTTCTAAGTTGCTTGAGGACAAGCAATGGTTTAAGTTTGGGGAGATTTGATAGGTAGAAAAATGTGCATATTTTATATATTTAATGGTGTATTTTTATACATTAATTTGATTCGCACATTTATATTTTTTGGCTTATTTATTTATTAGATGGATTTTGGTGCTTTGAAATATTTATGTTTTATTTTTAGGATATTGGAGTATTTTTATAGAAGACGAGACGTTGCAGGCATAGACGTGAGCTCGATACCTCCGTGTGGTGTAGTACGGGGTACCCCATATTCTGCTACCAACAGATTTGGAAACCCCATACTTTGCTGACAGAAGAGGCCCAATATTATGATTGGTTGATAAAAGCCCAATTATTGAAGTATCTTACGAGGCTGAAAATTACTAAGGCCAAATAATGAATGCATGGGTTAATAAGCCCAATGTTGGGCAATTAACTACATTGGATGATTGATAGGGCAGCACTCACGCATCCATCAGGAATAATTTGGAGGTTTGGACACTTGGAAAGAGGACACACAACTTAGGAGATTTATTTTGCACAACATAAAAAAACAGAGGAGCCGCCACGCAGAAAGGCATACACGCACCAACAGAGAAGAGGGATCTTACGGACAGTGAGCAGTCGTGCGAGGAATCTAATCAATAGCGGAGGGAGACCGCACCCGCACACGAAAGGGGATAATTCTTTCCTCTTTCTTTTGTTTTTATTTATTATGTTAGCTTAGATTTTATTCTAGTTCTGGGGATGTCGAACCCTTCGATTTGATGATGTTTTGATTGATTATATGGTTGATGATTTTAATATCTTTTTGGAATTGTTTGTGTTATTTTGAATAATTAATCCTGATTTGTTGAGTCTTGTTTAGCTTGATCACCTAGACTAGGCTTTTCATATCTACTGCTAGATTCAAACTGTCAATCCGTAATTGTTGATATGTTTAATCAATTAGAGGCTACCGAAAGATGGTAACTACCGGGAATAACACGACCTAAGTAAGTGAATGAAAATTTCACTA